CTGCCGAGCAGGGAGCCCGATGCGGGACTCGATCCCGGGACTCCAGGATCATGACCCGAGCCGAAGGCAGTCACTTAACCAACTGAGCCACCCAGACGCCCCAGCCCTCATTCCTTTAAATTCCTGTCCCTCTCATGGATCTCTCCCCAGATGGAGGCAGAGACTGGGTGGCAAGCATTTTGTACCTCCCTGCAGAACCTAGCTTAAGGCAGGCATCCATCTACGCTGACTAAATGAACTAACATAAAGGACTGTGGGTGAATAAAGTTTACAGCTACATTTCTGTGTTGAAAATAGCACTTCCCCAATACTATTTATGTGAATGAAAACAAAGACGTTTGGTGGGTGCTAAAGCAATTTGGCACTAATTGTTCACATGCTTGTTTATAAGCAGTACTTGGTTAAGTGATCTGCTGAGGGGAAGGGAATATATGGAAGAATTCCCCTCGCCTTGTTGGCATGTGGAATGGGGATGAGGGATGGTGTCTCTACCTTCAGAGCCTCATGCTAAGCCCATCAGCATATGACCTCCGGTTCCTTTAAAACTGTTACCCTCAATTTTCTAGGGCTGAAGTCATCATACATTTTCTGTACAGCTACTTGACCCTCACTTATCCCAAGTTACCCTCTTCTCTTTGCACTCTGCTCACTCTCTTGTGGCTTTAAATAATAGAGTTGTTCAAGTTAGAAATCTGGCATGCATCCTTAACACTTCCTTCAACACCCACTAATTGACCCAAGTCCCATCAATTCTATTTTTAAAATACATTCTCTCATATATGAATGTTTGTGGCAGCATTATTCATGATAGCTAAAAAGGGGACACCACCCAACTGTCCATCAGTGGATGAATGGATAAACAAAACATGGTATGTGTGGTATGGTATGCACACACACACACACACACATACACACACCATGGAATACTAGAATATTATTCACCCACAAAATGGAATAAACTACTGATACATGCCACAACATGGATTAAATTTGAAAACATTACGCCAAGAGAAAGAACCAGATACAAAAGACCACATATTATGTGTTTCCCTTTAGATAAAATAAGCAGAATAGGGACAGTAGATGAGTAGAAAGTACACTTGTGGTTGCCTAGGTCCGGCAGGTGGGAGGAATCCAGAAGAAATGGGGAGTGGCTGCTAATGAGTACAGGTTTCTTTCTGGGGTGATGAAAATGTTCTAAAATTGACTGTGGTGATGGCTGCATGATTCTGTGAATACACTAAAAGCCACTGAACTGTACAGTTCAAATGTGTGGTATGTGCGTTATATCTCAACAAAGCTGTCATAGAAACCTTTTTATTGCAGTTAAAAAATATTATATTCTCCCCAAATCCACCACCACCACTTTAGTTCAAGTTGTCACCACCTCTTATGAGAGACCACCACACAGCCTCCTAAGTGGCCTCCCTGCTTCTAGTCCTCCCCCCTATAATCCATTCTCCTGATAATAATCAGGGTGTTCTTTAAAAAGCTTAAATTAAATGTGACCCTATCGCTTCTCGGCCTTTTGGCTAGGATCAAGTGTAAACGTGACTCTCCCGCTTAAAACTCTTCATGGGTTTCCCACCACACTTCACACGAGAACCCATCCTCCTCACCATGGCCTGCAAGGGACCATACGCTATGGCCTCTGCCTACTTCGGCAACCTCATGTTAAGTCACTCTCTTCCTTGCTTTAAATACTCCAGAGGTCCTCCAAGAGGCCAGGTTCTTCCCCAGTGTGGGACCTGGCATATGCTTCACCCAAGAGGCTCTCCATTCCCTCTTTACCTGGACTCATCCTGTAGGTCAAAGCTGAAATATCACTTCCTCAGAAAGGCCGATCATTTTAATTTAATTCAATTTAATGCACGACTCTTTTTACTCAAATAGAACCACAGATTTTTTTTTTTCTCCTTCACAGCACTTCTTCACGATTTGCACATTTAGATCTGTCTGTTAATTTGTTCACTGCCAGTCTTCTGTGCTAGACAGTTAGCTCCATGAGGACAAGTGCTCTGTCTTATTCAACGCTGTCTGTACATCTTGTGCTTTTCACTTAATAGACATTCGATATCTGTTGAATGAGTGAATTTTCACAAAAACCTTGTTCCAACCTGCTACCCTTCATTTAGAAGATTTGGCCATTACTACTCCTGCGACAGGAGCGGCCAGAAATGACCCTGGGGGTGGGGGTGGGGAAGTCTTTGTATCAAATGTTTCCCGGGTGATTTGAAAACACACTTCTCACCTGCTCATTTTTTTGTATTTCCTGTAACTTAAGCTGCTCCAGGACAGACTTTAAATGATTCTGGAAAACAAATTGTATAAATGATGAATGCTGAGTCTCAAGGGAAAAGAGAACCAAGCGAGACAAAGAGTTCGGCAAATAATTTGATAAGAAAATGGTCAGTTGTAACACAAGAGCACTCTTTTTAAAGGATTTAGAGTCTAAGAACTTGTACCCCCCCTAACTACAGAACCATCTGATTGGATTTTATAACCCTACACACAGCATTTTTTTCTTGCCCTAAAATAAATGGTTGGGAGTGCCTTCACGGTACCTTTCTTTAGTTTTAGCACAAATCCTTTGACTGTGGTGAACTATTTAAAAAGCTGGCTTGGAATGTGATGCTGACTCATTCATTTCCCTGCACTAGGGCAGAAGAGTACTATTCCCAACTAGTACTTCATGCAACATCCTAATAATACCATACAGCTGTATCTTCCAAAGTGTGTCCACATCTATCATCTTACTTGGTTATTCTAAAGGACAACACTCTAAAGAGGTATAGTTCTGTGTCACGTTGCTCCATTTTGATGACTACAGCTCTCCAGAAAATGAAATCTGGCAAGGAATTTTCCAGATTCTTCAGAATTTCCCTCACTATAAAAAAGGATGCAAACATGGCCTAAACATACATTTTCCTTTGGTTGAAATATGTGTTAACAAAAATAAAGCAAGATAATTATTCTTGTTAAGGCATGCATCATAACATTTAAAAATGAATTTAGTTAATTTTCTTTCACTGCAATGAATACATTTTGGTACAAACAACAGGATTCAATCTATGCCTTACCACTTACTGTGGTCCTCGGCAAGTTACTTAACCTCTTTGAATTTCCAATTCCTTATCTATCAAATAGGACTAGTGACAGTACCTGTGTTTCAGAAATGCAAGGATGAAATGAGATGATACGTGGAAAATGGTTAGCTCTTTATGTGCCTTTCACATAACAAATGCTCAGTATCAGTAATTATTATCTCAGGTCTCCTGGTCTCTTCCCAAAATTGCTTATGCGAGATGATCAAAATTACTCAGGTAAAAGGAATAGGGCTGTTTTATTAGGGGTTTCTAAGAGGTTGTTTTAGGTGTGCAAATGAATTAAGAATGCTGCACAGAGATAACATGAGTAGAAACACAAAGATGGGATTTTGAAAGTAAGATTTCAAGATATCTTTATCCCAGCCAACAGGAATTTACCTTGAGCATCAGGTTTTCCACTTTCATTATGAGATGCCTCTGTCTTTGTGCTTTGCATCGAATCACTTGGAGCTTTTTCTCCATGTAATGAATCTGCTTCTGAATATCCATGACTAACAGAGATAGACAGAAATTTTATCTAAACATAGCCTAAACTAGTGGACCGAGATCAAAATCAACTAAAACTCCACTACACATTTCAGCAATAACTTCTCAAACTTAGCCTTGCATCTAACATGTGTTTAGAGGCCATCTTCAGCACTGCCACCCACTCTGTCCCATCCCTTTGGTTTTCCCTCTGTAACTTACCTATTGAACTGGCTCCTTCCTTTGCCTCATACTGGCCAGATGCAAAGAACTTGGCTTGTAGCTCCCTTTCCAGATCCTCTTCATAATAATCTTCCCCCTCTTCCTCAACTTCGTACTCATCATCATAGTCATCCTCTTCATCCTCATCCTCCTCATCCTCATCGTCGTCATCATCCTCATCCTCATCATCATCATCATCATCATCACTGTTACTGCTAGAATCACTGAACACCTCCCGAAGCATACCATAGTCTATTGGTTTTAAGGAAGAGGAAGATAAAACTCTATGAATCTTCAAATGACTCCCACTCTAGCTGCAGTTATACTCCCTCCCCTCAAATTCACTCAACCGATGAATTTTATAAATAATTTTCTTGACGGAAGATTATTCCCTTCCTAGAACAATGACAGGAAATGCAAAACACTAACATTCATTCATATATTCAATGATCAAGACATTTAGAGTATCAAAGGGCCTCTAGGAATTTAGGATACCAGGGATGGGTGGGAGATTAGAACACCAATCTAAAACCCCTGAAGCACTGAGGGACCAATAAGAGGAAAGAAGGGCAAAGGCCTCCTTTTTCTGTGATTGGCCTGTGAGTCTATGGAGACTGGCCTTTCACACAGTCAACACCTGCGCTTTCTGAAGCTCTTGTTTCGCTTTTATAGACATACCTGATGAGACACGATCCTGCGTATAGTCACTCATTCCTGAGGATATTGCAAAGCCTGGGATAGAGCCTTGACTCTCTATTTCCTTGGTTTCATCTTCAGCAATTACTTCCCATCCTGAAAGGTGGGTCAGTTAAGGAACAAGCAGAAAGAAAGGAGAAGGCCCAGTTGAAAGGGAAGAAGCTCTCTGGCTGAAAATGCTATTTAATTTTAGTCCAACTTCAGGCCATTTGTATCTGAATTCCTAGTATGAAGAAGTACCTTATACTGAGTTACACAAGTAAATACATTTCTATCATGTGAATTTACTGTTCCTAGCTAGGAAATAACATCTCAAAAAATCTTAAGTTCCACACATCACAATTCACACACGAATACCAGAAGTGAGGGCTTGGTCAGCAAGTGCACGTGGGGTGGAAGAGAGTACATGGAAAATATTTAGTATAAAAGGATACGAGCACTGACAGCTTCAGCATCTGAACACAGAAGTCTTTTCACTTCCTTTTCCACATCGGGAGACTCGATGTACTGAACCAAAGTGGGGGAAGGGGGAATAACAGTAAGGTCATTTAACACCTCGTGTTTTGCAGGAATGCCCTTTACCTACGTACAAATGAATTCAAATAATTAGGCCTCTTCAACATGCATACAACCAAATTTCAACTTTAAATAATGCTATTTACGAAGGAATCTTTGACCAGGGTCTAGGTTTTTGTACGATAAGCTTATTTTTTTCCCCATTCAAACAAATTACTTGAGACATTTAATCTTTTCAATCTGCAACTCTGTGTTAAAGACCTCTCTCAGAGGCACAACCCTTGGGTCTCGGTTATTAATTATTTGCCCTGGCCCATGTTGGCAAAGAACTACAATTCCTTATTTGTTATTTAACAGTAATTTGGTCTAAAGATCCAAATTCCCAGGGTTCACTTCTCCACATCTTTATTATTAAAGATTTTCCTATAAAAACTGGGTCTTAGCTACATGTTCTCCCTTAAATCCAATTTTAGACAATTATCTCCACAGCAACCAATTTGTCATGCCACAAATAGAAATTAGAACTTTGAGGGGGAATAAGCAATTGCAAAAAACTGCTGGTAAAAGTGAACCCTGGCTTCCAAGAAATGGCTTTTAAAATAAGCACCAGAGGAAAAAAAAGCAGATTAGAATATAGAGTCACTAGCCAAATTGTATCTTTTCCTCTAGGAGTTATCACACATTAAACAATGAATCCATTTTTAAGTGAATCAAATTCAGTGTCTGTGCATGACAGCAGCAGTTAGAGATAAGAAGGCAGGCTTAAAAGTAACCTTTATGGTTTCTTTGATTTGCTTGAAAGTAATAAGCAATGAAATAAAACCCACCAAGGGTCAACAATAAAGTTATATTATGATTGCTGTACCTCCGGAAAGCTGATTTCTTCAATTTGTTTGAAATCAGTGAGCTACGAAATAAAACACAAACAATGAAGTTATATTACGATTGTTCTCCTTCACTAAAGCTTAAAGAATTGTAAAATTATTCTTAACTTAGTTTTATATTTAGTAGGCACTCAGTAAATGCTGTTGACTGACAGTAGAAAAGCCGAGGCAACTGTGTTCATAGAGTGAGAGAATCAACGCAATAAAGCTGTCAATTCTCCCCAAATTGATCTCTATATAGGTTTAATGCAATTCCTACCAAAATTCCAACAAGGTTTTCTATAGACATAGAAAACTTTTTCTAAACTTCAAACATACTCTAAAATTTATGTGGAAAGGTAAAGGCTCTAGAATGGCTACAACAATCTTGACAAAGAAAAATAAAGAACAGTCTTGCTGATTTCGAGACTTATATAGCTACACTGTGATATCAGAAGAAGGATCAACATATAGATCAATGGAACAGAATAGGGAACCCAGAAACAGACATGCACAAATATGCTCAAGTGATTTTTGACAAGGTGCAAAAGCAATACAATGGCGGAAGGATAGTCTTTTTAACAAATGGTGTGGGAGGAACTGGACATGCAAAATGCAAGAAAAAAAATGAACTTTGAACTAGGGGTGTCTGGGTGGCTCAGTCGGTTAAGCATCTGCCTTCAGCTCAGGTCATGATCCCAGGGTCCTGCTCAGTGGGGAGTCTGCTTCTCCCTCTGCCCCTCCCCTCACTCATTCTCTCAATCTCTCTATCTCTCTCAAATAAATTTAAAAAACCTTCAAAAATTAGCTCAAAAATGGATTGCAGGCTTAAATGTAAAATGTTAAACTTTAGAAAAAAAGAAATAGAAAATCTTCAGGATCTGGGCTAGGCAAAGAGTTCTTAAACCTGACGCAAAGGGAAGATCCTTAAAAGGAAAAATCAATACTTTGGACTTAACCAAACAAAAAACTTTTGCTCTTTGAAAGACCCTGTGGAGAAGATGAAAAGATAAACTATAGACTAGGAGAAAATATTTGCAAATATCTACAAATTTCTACAGACAAGACTAGTATTTGGAATATTAAAAGAACTCTTAAAACTCAATAATAACAAATCCATTTAGAAAATGGGCAAAAGGCATGAACAGACATTTCACTAAAGTGAACTATATGGATGGCAAAAAAACATATGAGAAGATATTTGACACCATTAACTATCAGGGAAATACAAATTAATACCACAATTAGATCACTACATCTATCAGAATGGCTAAAATAAAAAAATAGTGACAGGCACCTAATTCTGATGAGAATGTAGAGTAGCTGGATCACACCTACACTGCTGGTGGGAATGTACAATGTTAAAGCCACTTTGGAAACAGTATGGCAGTTTCTTATAAAACTCAGCATTCAAGGGGCACCTGGGTAGCTCAGTCGGTTAAGCGTCTGACTCTTGATTTCAGCTCAGATCAGGATCTCAGGGTTGTGAGATCAAGGCCCACGGTCGGGCTCTGCACCGGGCACGGAACCTGCTTAAGATTCTCTCTCTCAGGGTGCCCGGGTGGCGCAGTCAGTTGAGCATCCGACTCTTGGTTTCGGCTCAGGTTGTGATCTCATGGGTCGGGGGATGGAGCCCAGCATCAGGCCCCACACTTAGTGAGGAGCCTGCTTGCATCTCTCCCTCTCCCTCTGCTCCTCCCCCCTCCCCCCGCCCGTGCTCTCTCTAATAAATCTTAAAAAAAAAAGATTCTCACTCACCCTCTCCTTCTGCCCCTCCCCCTTCTGAAAACAAAACAAAACTAAACATTCAAGTACCAGAGGACCCAGCAATTGCACTCCTGGGCATTTATCCCAAAGATACAAATATTTATGTTCACACAAAAACCTGCTTGCAACTTTATTTATAATAGTAAAAAACTGCAAACAACTCAAATGTCCTCCAATGGGTGAACAGTTCAACAAGCTGTGGTACATCCGTACGATGGAATACTACTCAGCATTGACAGGAACGAACTACTGATCCATGCAACAACTTGCATGGATCTTAAGGGAATTATGTTTAGTTGGGGGGGGAGCCAGTATTAAATGTTACACATTGTATGACTCCATCTATATGACATTCTGAAAATGACATTACAGAGATGGAGAACACAACAGTGATTGCCAGGGGTTAGAGACTGTGGGAGTGGGGTAGGAGGTAGATGAGTGTGACTATAAAAGGGCAATGGGGCGCCTGGGTCGCTCAGTCGGTTGAGCGTCTGACTCTTGGTTTCAGCTTGGGTCATGATCTCAGGGTCTTGAGATCAAGCCCCGCACTGGGCTCCACACTCAGCGGTGGGTCTGCTTGAAGATTCTCTCCCTCTGCCCCTTCCCCCGTTCATTCTCTCTCTCTAAAATAAATAAATAAATCTTTAAAAAATCTTTAAAAAATGGGTGAGATGAGGGATCCTTGTGGTAACAGAACTGCACAGTATTTTGATTGTGTAGGCAGATACACGAACATACACATGGGATAAAACTGCACAAAACTAAACATACACACACACACACAAACACAAGTACAAGTAAAACTGGAGAAATTTTAATAAGATTGGTGAATTGTATAATATCAATTTCCTGTTTGTGATAATGTACCATAGTTTTGCAAAAAGTCACAATGAAAACTGGATAAAGGGTACATGGTATCTCTCTTTTATTTCTTACAACTGCATGTGAACCTACAATTATTTCAAAATCAAAAGTTAATTTAAAAAAGAAGAAGCCAAGCCACAGTAATCCTGTAGCTTGCCCAAGGTTCTACAAGTCTGAGGTAAGGTTAGGAATATAACCACAGTTCTCAATTCTCAGGTTCTAGATGGGTTCACCGTAAAACTAGGTCTTGCAATTGAAAACTGAAAGCATTAGCAGAAGTTTCAAATTCATGACACATCCAGATCCCTAAATGATCAGGTCTGGTTTTTGTTCACTATAGAATCCCAACTGCTACCACACAGTGCCTGGCATTTAGCTCACAATAACATACTGAACATATAAAGGAATGAACAAATTAATCCCCAACTGACTGTCTCCCTTTCCTCCCCACTCATAATCCTCTTCCAATCCACCCAGTAGACACAGAAGTAGCATGCAACTAACCTTTTTTGTTGTTTTGCGGAACCTTTTCTTTCTGACATTCTTAAGTGGTGGAGTAACTAAAATAAATTCAACATGGTGAAATGTATATATGACTGTTGGTAGTCACACATCTATCTGAATTTGATAAAGAGAAAGGTCACGCTATAAGCCACTAGCTCATGACATGACCTGTTCCTTTAAGAGTGTCTGGATGCCTAACGAACCAAACACCTAAGTGTGGTAACAGGTCCCTGGCTCATGAGTAATTAGGATTCAGCAGATAAATGTAGTCAGCCAGAATGAGCAAGGGGCTGGTGACTTACTGCCATGCTTCCAGACATATTGTTTCTGTTTCTCTTTTTCATTTTTCCTGATTACTTTAAGATCAGTAGAGGTAACTGGTTCTTCCGGAGAAGGGTGGAGATCACCATCAGCAGTGCACATAAGCATCTACATTTAACAAAGATAAAGAAGTTGATTACAGCCACAAATCTTGGGTTAGTAATGAATTGTGATCATTTTTACTACCAGAAATCCTGGAGCACAGAAGTAAGGAGAATGTTACTTGGCATTTCCAGAAAACCAAGTATTAATATACATACATATTCATTCTCTCTGTCTGTCTCGGCAGCATTGTATATGGATTCTGGGTTTTCTTTTTATTTGTTTGTTTGTTTTAGCTCAAATGCTTACCACTGCAGAGGAAATATGTTCAAAACAAATACATCTTAGCATTTTGATTTAGAAGACAAACAAGAAATCAACAACAAGATGATGAAAAGAACAAATATAATCTCCAGAGTTCACAGCATCTTGCTTTAGCAAAAAGTTCAGAAGATCCCAGATCCTCATTTTTTCAGATGAAAATCATTATAAATGGCAAACATAAACCTTTATTATCTAAAAGCTATTTGGATAAAATTAAGTAGTCAAAAGTTATGGCTCAAACACCAAACCAGAACACGACATTGTATTCCTGTGCAATTGAGCTGGAATTAGAAATGATAAGCAGCCGTTCACCAAGTGGGAAGGAGCACTGAAAGAAAGAGAAAAGTAGGGAGAAAGGGATTCCTTGAACGATGTAAGAGCTAGTAGATTAAGAAAACTCGTCCATACCTGAGAAATATCTGCTGTTTTATAAAAAGTTTTTTTATCAAGACTTTTCAGGCTTCCAATAACGCATGGCAAATCAACCACCTTTGCAGCTAGTGAGACATCTTCTACCTGAACAACTGCATGACGTCCATCAGCTGAAGAGAGGTAGGAAAAATTAAAGTTGACATCTTCCCAATGCATTCTTAAGCTTCCTAGAGCTTGAGTAATGAAGACTTACATGGGACAGACTAGTCTTTCAGCGAACCCTACTATTTCTCATAATGCTAGAATTGTGTATGTAATTAGTAACTTCCCAGAGAAAAGAAGGCAGGGTATATGTTTATGCTACTTGATCAAAAGTAGCTAAGTTTCTTCGTAATCACTGTGAACTAAATGCGGATGAAGTGGTAAGTGCTTCATTCTCCTCCTGAAGGGCAAACTCCATTCAAACCCATTCATTTTGACACCATCAGAAGCACTCACTTACATCATTGCACATGGGTATGTCAAGTGAAGGGTTGAGTGAAGGAAGGGTTGATCCCAGAATGGTGCTAGTAAATCTGAAGTTACAATCTCTAGTTACCTTCACAAAGATATTGGTCTACACAATATCCATATATGGTAGGAATATATATATATATATTCATATACTGACAACCCTGACTCCTGCCCAGATGTCTCAAACATGAATGTCCTTTAACACAAGAAGATTCAAGTGAAATCTTCTAATAGTAAGTGAAAAAGAAAAAATGCAGAATGATGTTGGACATGATTTTTTTTGTGTCTTTAATTCTTTAAAGTAACTTTAAAGATATAGATGATTTAAATGTTGGTATTGTGCATAAAAATTTTGTCTGTAAGGAAACACAAGGAGAAACAATTATTATTAGTTATCTTTGGCATTAACATTAGAGCACTGCAAAGGAGAGGTTCACTCTTCTTTTTGAACTCTTCTGTTTTATTTGAATTTTCTAACCATGAACTTCTATTACCTTTTTAAAAATGTTAATAAGGGCTACCTGAGTGATGGTATTATAGACCATTTTAAATTTTCTTCTTTATATACTTCTCTGTACTTAAAACACCTAATAAATATTATTTAAAAGAGAGAAAGATATGTCACTTTTATAAACAAGGAAAGAACAGTATTCATTTGTCATTTCCCTGGACAGTTAGAAATCACAAAGCCAAACAGCAGTAGACAAATCGCACAGTTGGCCCCCATGTTTTTCCTTATACACACTATAATAATTACCTCAGATTACATAATTTCTACTTCCTTTCCTAAGAAGCTATGAAAGTGACTTAAAGCTTCTTAAGACTTCTTAGAGTCTATCGAGGCAGAGACCATATTCTGTTCTTTGTCATATCCTTAGTATCTAGTATAGTGTCTGGCACATAGCAATCCCAGAATAAATTACTGTTCAATGTATGGTAAATGGACAGTCACTACTTACAAGATAAGTCAATTTTGAGTTTATCCTTCATGGCAACACTTCTAGAATGTAGTATCTTCCTGACAGTAGATGCATGTTCCTAAAAAGAAGGGAAGTTGAAAAATCAGAAGGATGAATTGTCTACTTGGCAACTAATAGAAGAGATATGTCACAGACAGTCCTCCCTTAAATAAAGCCTTAAACCTGCCAAATGTTAAGAACAATGCCATGCACCATGGCATACCGTGCACTGTGTAAGACAAGTTAGGATGAGGCTGACTCTAGTCTCAGTGTCGTTTCTTAGTAGCTACAGTTATGCCTTCTTCTAGCTCTACATTCCTGCCTCTCACGGCTGCCCTTCAGTTGTAGTTGCTAAGGAAAAGGCTTAGCTGCAGTTTACTGGGTATATTAAGTAGCCCTAATTGGGAAAATACCTTTCTGAAACCCGTCTTTAATATAGCTTTCTTAGACTAAATACGACTTGAATCCAGGTATCAAAGGGAGAATAGATCCTAACACAATGTTAAGATGAGCTTCAACAGCCTGGCATGGTGATAAATTTGAGGAAATAGTGATGGTCCTTCTCAATGCCCCTTTGGAGGTGACAGGATTTTAAAAGAGTCTTATCTTGGCTGTCCAGTGAACAGGCTGTTAGCACCTCTGGTAAGTGACTGAATCCCTCACTGTCACAGCCGTTTGCCAGGAAATCAGCCCACATGATAGGCAGCATGTACAGGATGAAAGAAATTCTGCTAAAAGAGTACACACTAGGATAGGACTGTTGAATAGAATGTGATTCCTGGGAAACAAATGTCCTTAGCTTTTATAGCATACCTTAAATAGAAATACCACAGAATCCAAGCAGAGCTAATACATATGCACTGAAGATATTTGGTCTGAGATACAAGGGTTTCTTACCGGAGGCAGACGCAATATAAACTGGTTCTCAAGTTCGTGAGGAGGTTCATCCTGGCTTTTACTCATCTCTTTGTTTTTGAGTTCATGAAAGCAAAAACAAAATCGACAGAAAGTGACCAAAAACTCATCTTGCTCCCTCTGCTGACCACTTCTGGTAGCACTGGTTACATTATACAAGATCTTGCCCATAACCCTCACTGGAATGATGTGTGCACAGCTCTGAAGTATCTTATTTGACATAATGTGATTATTTCTAAAAGTCACCTTATCTCCCCTCTAATATATGCAGACTTTCCAAGGATAGTCCAAATTACATGATAACAAATGAAGTAATAGTTGTTATGAAACATGATTTAGTCTTCTTAATGATATTCTTAGACTCTTAGGTAAAGGACCACAATTCATCAACTCAGTGGTGGCTACCGAAGCAAACTACATGCCTCTGCAGGGAAGAGTGCCAACCAAAGGCCAAAATCAACCAAAACCACGGGCAGAAATGTTCTATGATGATTTGAAGGAAAGAGCATAATTTTTAATATTTCATTCACCTTAATGGATTGGTAGGAATTAAGCCCATGGGAGAGCAGGTAGCTTTTACAACTCTAAAGTCAGCATCAACGGCTCTGGGCTATCTTGGAGAAAAGTTAGGAGTCCAGTTCTTATGGCTAGGCCATCTATATGAGTACACTTAAGTTCACGGAATAGACACTTTCTTGAAGGGGTGATATGAAAGATCAGAAAACCCAATTAATCAATTCATTACTATCATTTACTGTGTACATTCTATACGCCAGGCACTTCACTGAGTGCATTAGGTCTATTATTTCATTTAATCCTCATAACCACCACTTACTTGAAATGCCCCTAAAAGTTATTTAAAGGAATCTTAAGATGGATCCCTTTATTAAAAAAAAAAAAAAAAAAACCTTCTGTAAAGTGAATAATCTCATCAACGTTCATCTTAATTTTTAATTTTACTTTCCATCTATTTGGGATATATCTGTAAGTGACTTACATGTTGGGCTCACACTTCTGAGGAAATTTTTTCTCAAAAGGTGGAAAGAAAGCAATATACATATATGAAACCTGACAAGGTCTTCCTATGCTCTAAGGACATTATGCTATACACCAAGTTATAAAATATTATACCTTAAATTAGATTAAAATCTCCAGTTAAGCACAGCTCCCAATACTCCCAATACACAGTAAACCATATGAATCTCACTTAAAAGCATTGGAACCATTTTTAAAAACACATGCAAGTGAGTCTGAGATCCTATTATGGTGAAATCATTCACCAGTCCTTTAGTATGACTTCGGAAACTACCAGAAAGGCACTGAAAGCAAAAGAGAGGTCAGCCGTGGAAAAGGAGACACCCAGGATGAGAGAAAGATTGATTATTTGTGATAGTCAATTCTTCTCTTCCTGCTTATATAGTTATATATATATATACACACACACATAGAGAGAGAGAGAGAGAGAGAAAGAAACTGTGAACATAAGGAAAAAATTAATTAAAATAAATTAAATAAAAATCTTGGGGCTGGGCACACTGCCTAACAGAACGAAAAGTAGCAAATACAAGGTTGGGGGCAGAAATACAGATTATTTGAAGAACTAGCTGCTAAGCAAGATTTTATCAGATCAGAAGTAACTTTTAGAGCTTTCAGCAGAACTAAGACTAGGGCATTTTGTTCATTTCAATGCCTTTCTGGCAACTCCTCTCTTAGAGAAAGAATGTAAGAATCCAAACTATTTCAGAGAAGGTGGACGACCCTAGGTGAAAGGAGTTTTAATTATTTGTAAAATTTGTTACCTTTTACTTTCATTTACCCAATGAACCCGGTGTATCGTATATCTTTTAAGAAAAGGCATCCATTTTTTTTTTTCAGACAAGCACTCTTCGATAAGTAAACTAACAGGACCGCTCTCCACCATTCATCCCCAGCTCCATCTCGTTTCAGCGAAATCAGAATTGGAATTAGAATTACAGCTAGCTGGAGGGTGCCTAACAGCATGCTCCAGGCAGCACAAGTCAGCACAAGCGTAAATTGGTATTTTCTCAAGTTCATAGCCGCTGGCTGCAATTTGGAGGCAATGACCACCCCATCCTTATCCCAGGGGCACTCAGCTTCCAAGGAAGAGTCCAGCTCCTAGGCCCCGATCCAATTTCCCTGGAAAACCTCCCGCGGGGCCCAGGGTCCCGAGCCTTCGCGCCTCGCCGTCCAGGCGGGCTGGGGAGGGAAGTGCGGCGCGCGGGAGCTGGGCGCTGACCCGGCTGGGGAACCCTCTGCCGGCCCCGACTCACCCGCTGCTCCGCTGACTCGCGCCAGGACCGGAAAGGCTGCGCGCGGGGAGGGGGGCGTGGGGGGGACCCGCCTCTCTTCTCTGGGTTGGGGGTGGGGGCGGGTTCCGGCGAGGGCGTGAGTGGGCTCACGGGCAGCGGGCGTGGAGGCGGGCTGCGGACCGACGGCGTGGCGACAGGTAGGAGCCGCGCGCGCCGCCCCTCCCCGCCTAGCCACGCCTCCTGGGCCGCGGCCCGACTGGACCCGCGGGTGGCCTCGTGGAGGCGGCCAGTTCACCGCGTGCCAGGGCGGGGGGGCTTGAAAGGCGCTGAGCGCGGCGGGGGCCTTGCTGAGCAAAGCTTCCAAACAAACTCCTTTTACAGGGAGGCGACCTTCGGGGCGGCCGCGGGAGTCTTAGCGGTACACAGTGGTATTTGTAAAAGGGGCGGGTACATTGGCTTGCTCCTCGAAGCCGTTAGGTTGGACCGATTTGTTCCTTGGCGAGACGACCTCGCCTGGTGACAAATACGCCGCCGCGCAAAGCCATTAAATAACTGGAATCCGCGCCCAAACTACTCTCACCTAATTAGCCACTCTCTTCTCCTCAAGAGAGTCACCACTGTACATCTTTCAGACAGGGACACCAGTGACACGACTTATTTCTCCTAAAGGGAGTCTCAGTTCAAATAAACTTTTAGTAGTTTTCTCCCCCCAAATATCCTTAACCTGTGAGGATAAATAAATAAATAAATAAATAAATAAATAAATAAATAAAGCCCCTTACCTTTCCCTTCTGGTAAGTTTTCCGGAGGAGCTGTGGCACCAGCCTGGGCGCTGCTGTCGGCATCCGCTTGTGTGACATGGTCGGCAGCAGTTTGGGTGACTTGGTAGCTGGCATTTTCGGCGCCCTGGACGCCGACGGTTTCCGCCCCGTTGTCGACAGAAATTTGGGGATCTTGCGAGCCGGTTACTTCTGATGTTGAAACTCTCGGTGTGGAATCATTTTCTAACGGATCCGGAGGCAGTCCCTCAGGGTGCTCCATGGTCTACTCCTTGAGGTTGTAAAATGGCCTCCGACTTAGTCATGTGACCCTGAAGATTCCAGAACTTTCATAAAATGATGTCAAAGGTATCCTCCTTAAAGACATAGGGATAATATAAGGGATATTAATGGTGCCTGTTAAAGAAGATGGCGGTGAAATCTCTACTGCCTAATACATATCTAAACTTAATCATATGGGATAAATATTTTTGGAAGACTCATTATTGTACAGTCATTTCTTCTGGGTAAGATTTTCATTCAGTGAAGCTAAATTATCCGAAGTTTCAGACCTAGACAAAATTGTTTTGGTCCCTTTTAGAATCCATCCACTGATCTTTATATCAAGGCTTGTAATACAAAATAGACCAATGAAACTCATTTTTCATGTAGTGTACTATATTCTTGAAGGCATTTATATCGCACAATATTTCTTTAATAATTCAAAGGAGGGGGGCGCCTGGGTGGGTTAGGCATCTGCCTCAGGTCATGATCCCGGCGTCCTGCGTGCTCAGCGCCACCTAGGGCTCCCAGCCCAGCGGGAGCGTGCTTCTCCCTTGGCCTCAGCCTGCGGGTCCCCTTGCTTGTGAGCTCTCTCGCTCCCTCTCTCTCTCGCTCTCTATGTGTGTCAAGTAAATAAATAAAATCTAAAAAAAAAATAATTCAAAGGAAAAATTCCTTTTTTGGTAACTGAAATAGCTGAGTAATTGTGTTTTGAATCATATAGACCATGTGAATTATGTAATTAACTTCCCGTGTGATAGCTGCTAGGGAAGCTCAGAACCAATTTTACAATCCACCTCGAACCACTGTGAACTTTATTGGCATATGCTGATCTTTCTGTTATCTTAAATAACCATATCCTCTCTGGGGCGCCTGGGTGGCTCAGTCGTTTAGCGTCTGCCTTCCATTCAGGTCATGATCCCAGGGTCCTGGGATCGAGCCCCGCATCGGGCTCCCTGCTCAGCGGGGGGTCTGCTTCTCCCTCTTCCACTCTCCCTGCTGGTGTTCCCTCTCTCGCTGTGTCTCTCTCTGTCAAATAAATAAATAAAATCTTTAAAAAAAAATAAAAATAAATAACCATATTCTCTCCCAATCCCCTAATTATTTTTATCTTGTGCAGTAACACTGAAGGCTGCTTCAAAACGGTTTTTTTTTATTATTTTTTAAAGATTTTATTTATTTATTTGACAGAGAGAGAGAGCACAAGCAGGAACAGCAGGCAGAGGGAGAAGCAGACTCTCTGCTGAGCAGCAGGGAGCCCAACACGGGGCTCGATCCCAGGATTCTGGGATCACGACCTGAGCCAAAGGCAGAGGCTTAACCTACCGAGCCACCCAGGTGCCCCAGGTTTTTATTTTTTATTTTTTAAAGTAATCTCTACACCCATTGTGGGGCTCAAACTCAAGACCCTGAGATCAAGAGTCTACTGACTGAGCCAGCCAGGCACCCCTCAAAACTTTTTTAAAAAGAGAATCAGAGAGGGGCGCCTGAGTGGCTCAGTCAGTTAAGCCTCTGCCTTGGGCTGAGGTCATGACCCCAGGGACCTAGGACGGATAGCCCCATGTAGGGCTCTCGGCTCTGCGGGGAGCCTGCTTCTCCCTCTCCCTCTGCCTGCAGCTCCCCCTGCTTGTCATCTCTTTCTGTCAAATAAATAAATAAAATATTTTTTTAAAAAGAGAGAGAATCAGAGAGGTGCCTGGCTGGCTCAGTCAGTAGAGTGTGTGACTCTTGATCTTGGGAGTCCTGAGTTCAAGCCCCACTTGGGTGTAGAGATCACTATAATCACTTTAAAAACATTAAAAGAGGAGAGTCAGATATAAATAGCAGATAAATAAAAATAGTACTCTGACAAGTGTTATGGGGAACATCCCTATAGGAAGGGAACATAGTAACTGCTCACGTATAAATTCAATCATCCAACAAATGTTAGTTGGAAATCTCACGTGCCAGACTAGATTTTAAACATTTATTAGATGCTTAAAATATGGTAAGAGTTTCATGGAAGGAGGTAAAAATTACCCTTAAGATACAGGCATACATATATGTAATTTTTCCTCTATTGCCAGATTTCCAGCCCCTTCTTAAGGAAGAAGGGGATGAAATGTGCAAGAAGGAAAAGGGCATGAAAATTGTGGTTCATCTTGCTGGAAGAGAGCTGATCCAAGAAGTAGCACTGATGTACAGATAAAAAACCTGTCATATGCATATTATCATATTGTCAAATAGATACAGAATATATTTCTGGGCTCTGTTCTGTCATGTTGCTGTCTTTCCAATAAGTTCTTCTGGACCCCATCCTCTCCCCCAACTGTGACTTTGATCAATTTCATCATTATAACAAGTATGCAGTTGCATGTATTCCTTCAACAGAAACGTATTCAGTTATGTGCCAGAAACCACTCTAAGGTTAATAATAGCTAACATTCATTGAGCACTTATTAGATGCTAAGCTCCTTACTAAGCACTTTGTATGTATTATTTCATCTAACCCCCACAATTGCTCTGTGAGTTTGGTGTGACTATGAACCTGGGGTTTTTTTCCAGATAAACTGAGATTTGGAAAGGTTAATTAACTTGACCCATGTCACACATGTAGTAAATGGTGGAGCCAATACGTAATGTAATCCCAGGTCCCTTGACTGTGTTGATGTTTACAAAGACTTCCCCTACACAATTAGATGTACAGTTATTCCCCCATTTTCTGCTCCCCCCAGCCCCTAGTAACTTCTATTCCACTTTCTGCTTCTATGAATTTGCCTACTCTAGGTACCTCATATAAGTAGAGTCATAATATTTGTCCTTTTGTATCTGGATTCTTTCACTTACTCATACAATGAGTTGGGAAGTATTTTCTCCTCGTATATTTTGGAATAGTTTGAAAAATGTAGGAGTTAATATGTTTAATGTTTGGTAGAATTAATCAGTGAGGCCATCTGATTGAGAGTTTTTCTTTGTTGGGAGGTTTTTGATACTGACTTCATCTCCTTATTGGTAATAAATCTGTTGAGATTTTCTATTTCTTTATAATTCAGTTTCAGCAGCTGTGTGTTTCTAGGAATCTTTCCATTTCATCTAGGCTCTCCAACTTGCTGATATATAATTGTTAATAGCATTCTCTTGTAATCCTTTTTATTTCTGTAAAATCGACAGTAATGTCCCCAGCTTCTTTTCTGGTGTTATTGATTTAAGTCTTCTCTCTTTTTTGTCTTAGTCTAGATAAAGATTTTTCAATTTTGTTGATAACTTCAAAAAATCTACTTTTGGTTTCATTGATTTTCTCCATTGTTTTTCTATACTCTATTTTATTTATCTTTGCTCTAATCTTTAATATTTTCTTCCCTCTGTTAGCTTTAGGTTTAGTTTGTTCTTCTTTTTCTTGTTCTTTAAAGTGTAAAGTAAGGTTGTTGATTTAAGATGTTTCTAAATGTGTTTTTAGCTAAAACTTTCCCTCTTAGCACTGCTTCTGCTACATCCCATAAGTTTTATTATGTTGTGTTTTCATTTTCATTGGTCTCAAGTTATTTTCTAATTTTCCTTGTGATTTCTTCTTTTGCCCAATAGTTATTTATTCTGCCAATCTTTCTGCCTTTTGATTGAAGAATTTAATCCATTTGCATTTAAAGTAAATTCTAATAAGGAAGGACTTCTGATATCTTGCTATTTGTTTTCTACATGACTTATAGGGGTTTTTTTTTTTGTCCCTGATTTCCCTTTGTGTTTAGTTTCTTTTTTGTAGTGACACATTTTGGTTCCCTTCCCTTCCTTCTATAGGTATTTCCTTAGTGGTTACCATGGGGAATACGTATAACATCTTAAAGTTATAAAAATCTAATTTTAATTGATACCAACTCGACTTCAATTGTATAAAAAATTCTATTTATAGCTCTGTCCTACCCTTTATGTTCTCAATGTCACAAATTACACCTTTATAAATTGTGTGCTCAATAACATAGACTTATAATTATTGTTCTGTGTTTGTCTTTTAAATACTGTAGAAGATGAAAAGAGGAGTTACAAACCAAAAATACGATAATACTGGCTTTTGCATTTGCCTCTGTAGCTACCTTTGCTTTGTTCATTATTTTATCATATGGCTTTGAGTTACTGTCTAATGTCCTTTCATTTCAGCCTGAAGGACTCTGTAGCATTTCTTGTAGGGCAGGTCTATTAGTAACAAATTCAGTTTTTTGTTTATCTGGGAATGTCTTAATTTCTACTTAATTTCTGAAGTGTAGTTTGACAGATACAGAATTCTTGCTTGACAAGTTTTTTTTTCAACACTTTGAATATGTGACCCCATTGCCTTCTGGCCTCCATGATTTCTGAAGAGAAATAGACTGTTAATCATATTGAGTCTGTCGTGTACATCATGAGTCGCTTCTTTCTTTATGCTTTCAAAATTATCTCTTTGGCTTTGGCTTTTGACCATCTGACTATAATGTATCTGTGTGGGTCCCTTGAGTTTATCCTGCTTGGAGTTTGTTAGCTTCTTGGCCTGTAGATTCATGTATTTCATCAAATTTGAGAAGGTATCAGCTATACTTTCTTCAAATATTCTTTATTCCCCCCTTTCTCTCTTCTCTCCCTCTGGAAATCCCATTATTTATACGTTAATATGTTTGATAGTGTCCCACTAGTTCCTTAGGCTCTATTAATTTTTCTTCATTCTTTTTTCTTCCTGCTCCTGAGAGTGGATAATCTGGATTGATCTATCTCCAGTTTCACTGACTCTTTCTTCTGCTAGCCCAAATCTTGCTCAAAACTCTCTCCTCTAGGGAATTTTTCTTTTTTTTTTTAATTTTTATTTTATTTATTTTTAAATTTAAATTCAATTAATTAACATATAATGTATTATTGGTTTCAGAGGTAGAGGTCAGTGATTCATCAGTCTTATATAATACCCAGTGCTCATTACATTGCATGCCCTACTTAATGTCCATCACCCAGTTACCCCATCCCCCCACCCCCTCCCCTCCAGTACCCTCAGTTTGTTTCCTATGATTA